TAGAACCCATTCATAAGTCCAGAGGAACAGCTGAAATTTTATTTTTAAAAAGACCCCAGCATACGCCCAGGGGTGCTGGTTGTGGGGAAGCTAGAATGAAAACGCATTAAGGTAGCATTTGGTTGGTGCGTTTTGAATTCTTTATGTGCATTAAAATAAAGAATGTGACTTTTTTTTTTCTTCCCGAGATAAGGCTTAGTTTTTGCAGAGGAAAGGGGGGAAGGGAAGAAGGGAGGGAGAAAAGATAGGAGGGAGGGAAGGGAAAGGAAAGAAGGAAGGAAGGAAAGAAAGAAGGGAGGGAAGAAGGGAGGGAGGAAAGAAGGAAAGAAGGAAGGAGGGGAAGAAGGGAGGGAAGAAGGGAGGGAGGAAAGGAGAGAGGGAGGGAGGAAGGAAGGAAGAAAGGAAGGAAGGGGGTTAGAAGGGAGAGGGGGAAGAGGAAGGAAGGTAGGAAGGAAAGAAGGAAGAAGGGAGAGAGGGAGAGAAGGGGAAGGAAGGAAGGAAGGAAGGAAGGAAGGAAGGAAGGAAGGAAGGAAGGAAGGAAGGAAGGAAGGAAGGAAGGAAGGAAGGAAGGGGGAATAGAGGGAAGAAGGGAAGGAGGGAAGGGGAAGGAAAGAAAGAGAGAAGGATACTAGTAATAAGAACATGCAATTTTGCAAACATATTCCAGTGATGTACATACAATAATACATCCTCATTTTGAGTTCTGGCACCACCACACAATGCACCGTATTCTAATCCAAGGGAGGGAGAAAACCTAAGATGTAGGAAATTATATTTTAAATCACATTTAAAGCAATTCTGTAATTCTCCAAAACCTCAGAGCCCAAACTCTTCCCCTCTCCCAGCACCACACCCCCCCACCCCCACGCCTTGAGATCCAAGGAAGGATCTGGTTGATGGTGAAGCATTGAGCAATATCTCTGGATGGAGCACTTGAGACAAGGGAACAACATAGATTAGCCGGAACAATCGAGACCACAGGAGGAGGAAAAACAAACTGTAATGCGATTTTCCTTTCTTACTCACCGATTATCTCTTTTGGCTCTTTAGGATAATATCCAATGACCTGCCTGACTAACATCCAGTGGGGTCTCAAGGGAAAGAGTGGATTTGTGGCTCATTCCTGGCCTATTTGCACAAATCTAATAATGTAGTAAAATATTCTCTTGTAAAAAAACAACAACTCCTACTTAAGAAGATTGGAAAGGAAAAAAGACACATACCCAGGGAAAGAAACAACCATCCTTTTCTTTGGAAAGGAACACAGTTTCCTTCATCTGTATTTCTCATCCTTCAGAGGGTGCTTTGGTAGAATAGAATAGAGAATAGAATAGAATTCTTTATTGGCCAAGTGTGGTTGGACACCCAAGGAATATGTCTTGGTGCAAATGCTCTCAGTGCACATGAAAGAAAAGATACGTTCGTCAAGAGTCAAGAATCGTAAGGTCCAACACTTAATGATAGTCATAGGGTACAATGGAATAGAAAGATATAGGAATAGAATTTAAATAGAATAGAATGCAGAATAGAATAGAATAGAATAGAATAGAATAGAATAGAATAGAATAG